GAAGATTTAAGATGCACTAAAACATATAGTAATACTTTAGAATAAAGTACAATCTTTGGCATACTTTACATCACATAACTTCAGACATTGAATGACAAGAGTCCAACCAGTGAACACTGCATCTCTTGGAATTTGTTTAGCAAAATCTGCTAATGTGGGTGAAATTGCCATACATGGTAGCCTTGTTTTTCCCCTCCCCATTTTCTTCATCTTCAGTTTATGCACAATTCTTTATATTGGGATTATTTTATTTTGTTCCAAGTCTCTAAATTTCAAATTCATAGTAGCGTTAAAAAGGACTAGGTACTCTAGAGACGGAACTGTTTAGAACTGGTAGATCTGCACAATATCTTCCCAAACCCATTGGTAAGTGTTTATGAATATCTAAGTTGAGATAAAAATCCAGGGCAACAGGGTAAGAAAATAGTCATTGCCTCAGATTAACTGATGTTAAACCAATAACAGTGTGTCAAATAATGTTAATTTGAGGCCCCATTTCATTTAATATTCTGGTATAAGAGGACATGTTCCATAGCATTATAGTTGTAATGACTCTGTTCATTCAATTACTTCGGTATGTGGCATGTAAGCAGTTTGTAAATCTGCGCATGCTGGTCTGTTCTCCCTGGGAGTGAAGTTTCACATGCAGTTTGACAAACATCTCAGAGCTTGCTCGCATTCCTCTGTGGAATAGTCACTTCTGAGAGAAAGAGGTGCGGCTTCATGGTCTGGGAACAGGACTGTCAGCCAGGAACACAGAGTTCTCATCCTGGAACTAGTTCTATTTTCTTGACGGATCAGATCATGTTAATGAATCTTTCTAGGACTCAGTTTACCCAGTTTTAAAACTGGTGAGAAAATTCCAATTAACTGGGGTATATTGGGTATTAGTGAGTGGATGGATAACTGTTAAGTGATTTGAAATGAAAAGTGATATGGCTGTAAGTAAGATGTTATTTTCATAAACTAAGTAGTTTTATGAAATAACTAACAGAACAGTTTTGTTACTTGAAAAAAATTACCACAAAATAAGAAAATCCATTTTAATGTTTGAATAGTTTATTTTTTCTAAATAAATATTTCTTACCTTAAATATTTTTAAGTTAACATGATATTCTATGTGACACAAATAATTAAATTCATGATTTCCTTTCATTTAAACATAAAGAAGAAATCTCTTTGTTCTATACAGCAAATGGAAATCTTTTCTGAAGTTTCATGCACTGTAAGAATGTAGACATTATTAACCTTAATGTTTTCGAGAAAAAAATTAGGACCAAAACACTGTGTAGTCAATCTAGAGGTTGAGTAGAATGGTACAATGAACTGCCTGCTTTAAAAAGATAAAGACTTGCAAGAATAAGATGCAGGTTCCAGAATGAGAAAACTGTGTATCAGAGCCCAAACAAAATGGGGGCATGTGGTGGGGGGTTGACTTGGGAGGAGACCTAATGATTGAGTACTGTGGTGTTCTATATCTGAAAGAATAAAGTTAAAAAAATCAACCTCAAATGCAAATGCTTTATTCTGGTGGCTCAGCTAGTCAGCATTCCCCAACCACAAATTCAGCTTCCCAAAATTAAGCAGCCTCACAAGTAAGGTTTTTAAAAAAGCCCAAAACTTCTAAAAAATATATTGTGATTCTTTACACTAGGAAGCTTTAAATCTTCTATCTCTTCCCCCTTTATAAAACTGAAAATAAAACAATGGATCTTCATTTTTATGTCTGGGATCTCAAATTTGGCTCTGAATGTGTTTCAAATCTCATTAATTACAATGTTGGCCCCACGAGATCAGTTGCTGATGCAAGGAACATTGTTTGCACTCAAAATAATTTGAACAAGGGCAAAGAAGCATTTTATTTACCTGTGTAAACATTAAGAGGAAAATAAAACAGAGATGGTTCAGGTGGCTGCTGAGATGTTTTAATGGTAATTGATTTGATTACTTAAGCTTTAAGGTTACCATGTATAGGGACAGTCATGTTTTCACTTTGTATATTTGTTGGATAACATTCTTGTAAAGATAACTGACATTAACTTGGCAAGTTCTGAACTAATACCTTTTAGCATTTTATTCTTTGCATATACTACAACCAAATTGTTCTGAATTCCATAATATACTGTGCAGATCTATGATTTATTTATTTTTTAAATATCAGAAAATATACCATTACACAAAGGACTCTTCCATATAACAAATCTGGGTAACATACAATCAAATGAATAAATTACAGCAGTAGAGAGCAAACAGCCTGTCTTGTTTTCTTTTACTTTTCCTTTCTCTTTAGGAAATAGCAAATTAAACCATGGCTATTTGTGGTCTTGTATTATAAGAACACATGTGGTCATACATTTTCATGCTATTAACAAATTTGTTGATTCAATGAGTAGAAAGTAAAGTCCATGGTAAAGATGGCTTAATGCTTTTCATGGGGAGGGTCATCTGTTAGGTATAGCCACAGCCTAAAAAATTTCATTCTGAGATCTAAGGTGCCCATTGGCTGTCTTTAAATGGACACTAAAGAGCAAAGTTAAGCAGCTCTGGTTACATTTAAAAATCACTTGGAGCTTAAAAAATACAGATGCCTGGATCCATCCCCAAGGTTCTGATTTAGTTAGCCTGATTTATTCCAGTGAGGTCCCAGACAAACAAAAATGAACAACAGTAACAAAAAAATAAATCATCCTAAGGCAATTCTATGTTACACAACTGAGAACCATAGTTAGAGAATTCCAACACCAGAGTAAGGATAATAACTAATTTGTTTGTAGATAACAGTACAAAGCCCACTCTTAGTTTTCAGTGGAAACCTTACCTTATTCCAGGTATGGGCAGTAAGCATGGATCAGCAAGCAGCTGCCAGGAACTCATTCCATGACAGCATTCTCTAAGCAGCGCCTTATAGGGAATGTTCAATGGTTGTGATGGAGCCCTGAATGATGATAGTTTTTTGGGTTAAAGCCAATGAAAGCCAATATTTGAACAACAAATTACATAAAGCTAACCTGAGGGTAGACACTGTAAACAGTGGAAACCCTATGCACATTTGAGCATTTTGAGGAATAGTTCAAAAGAGAGAGGCTCACTGGCTCATTGTTGCTCCTTCTAGAACTTCAGAGTCTATGGATGCCATGTCTCCACTACTAAATCACTGTAGATCACTGTAGAAAAAGAAGGGAACATTTTAAATTAAGAAATGGCAAATAACTTCTCTTGGAAATTAATCAACTTAAGGTCTTGTGATTTTTTAAATTCTTTATTCTCACTTCTATTGGCTGATTTTTTGTCTTTTTAGTAACAGCACTTCTACTTTTTAAATATCTTTATTATAATGTCAGTCTTCCATTGTTTTGCTCATCTTCTTTTGCTATCATATTCCATGGCTTCATCTAATCCTGTTTTTTTTTATTCTTCCAATTCTTTTTTTCATTTTCCTTAACAGCAGTATAGCAGGTCCTTTCTCTTCATTCCCCCCTCCCCCAAGTTTTTGATTTATGTTTGGTTGCCAACCCCTTTTCTGATTATTTCTCTCATTTTTTCTAACCTTCTGTTGATGTTTTATTCCTATGACTTGATGTTAATGTCCACATAAGCCCATTTCTTTCCATTTCATCTCCTTATCTTCATATGAATTTTTATAATCCTACTACTAAAAGAGTAAAGCTGTGAGGAATAGGACTAGAAAGGTACACTTTTTCCCATTTGAATCTGTTTCGTCTTCCCTTCCTTAGTTATTTAACGTCCATTCATCTTTCCTGATGTTTCGCCTGTCTAAACCCCACCTGCACCCCTCTTCTCTGTCACTCTGTTTGATGCCCATCTATTCTTTCTAACCCAACTAGTACTGTTTGATTTTACACCCAGGGACTTCCGGAGACAGAAGTATGGCGTTCTATCGGGAACCAGTTTGTGTCTGTTTCAGAAACTTTTGCGCATTTACTGGAATGGGATGGGATTAGGGGCTTGGATTCAGAAATACTCTCTGGCAGCCTTTCTACTGTAACACAGCTTTGCACACCATCGAGTTTGGAAAGTGGCTGGGGCGTACGTATTCTGCTGAACATGGACAGGGGTGTCTTTAAAGGCCTTCTATGGCCCTTCCCACCCCAGAAGTCAGGATAAGTAGACACCACCCGTCCAGGCTGGAAAACCAGGCCAGGCAGGGATGACTGGGGCCTTTTTGTGCAGCTGATCTGGCAGGGGATCTGGTGCTTGGTGCGCCACCGGCCCTGGGCGTGGAGTGGCAGGGGTAAAGGAGCACTGAGGCCCCGGGAGTCACTGGGCCATCTGTGGGAGGCAGGCCCAAGGCCGGGCGCTCCCTTGGGGCGCAGGGCGCGGTCCCAGGAGCTAGGCGACGCCACCCCAACGGCGCCAATGACCTGAGGCGCAGTCACTCCCCCGGAGGGTAAGCGAGTTGCTCTGAGTCGCTCTGCCAGAAGGTCGAGGGAACGAGGGAACAGCGCGTGCACCCCTCACCCGCTAGCCCTTAGGGAACAGGGCGGGGGCGACACCCCAGGGAGGAGGCTAAGGGCGGCCGAGATCACTGCTGGGTACGGGCACCGGGTCACAGACAGGAGAGCAGGAAGGAAGAGGAGGCTTGGGTGGGGGGCGTCTCCCAGGGCGGCCGGGACTGAAGGTCTGTCAGTGTACTCGGCCGGCGCCCCGAAGTCTGGGGCCGCCGTGGTTCCAGCTCTGCCGGCTCCTGCCAGAAACTCCAGGCCGCACTTTCCCCTCCTCCCGGCGCCTTCTCTCCAGTGAGGAGCCGAGCGCGGGCGGCGCGGGGGGAGGGGCGGCGGCGGAGAGAACAGCCAGTTGTTTAAAATCCTTCTAGAGCAGTTTCTAATTCCCCCCTTGCGCCGGGGTTCGGAGGGGGGAGGGGGGAAGGAGAGCGGGAGGAGGGAGGAGAGCTGTGAGAGAAGGAGGGAGGGAACCCAGGAGGGAGGGAAGGAGGGAGGAGACTGCCGCTTAGGCTGTAGCAGCCGCCGCGCGCTTCGGAAGGCCGGAGGGAGGGGGAGGCCTGTCAGTCTTGCGCGTTGCCTCGGCGAAGGGGGCGGAGCTTTGGCGTGGAGCGGCCAATAGTGGGGGTGGCTGCGTGGGTCGCCATGGGGACGGGGCTGTTCCCGAGGAGGCTGTGATGGGTTGACAGGTGCGTGACAGTGGGAGCTGCTCTCGGCACAAGCATGTACGGCAAAGGCAAGAGTAACAGCAGCGCCGTCCCGTCCGACAGCCAGGCCCGGGAGAAGTAAGTGTCTCCGCTTCTCACCCACCTCCGCCTGCACACGCGCGCACACACATGCACGCACTCGCGCACTCTCTTGGAGATACACAGATACACAGACACTCTCCGCCCGGGGAGAGCCGGGGATGGGCTGGCCGGGGGAGGGGTACGCGAGCTGGGGGCATGCGGTGCGGGGAGCGGCCGTCTCCCTAGAGGTGCTTTCGTGGGGCGGCGGCCGTGGGGGCTGTCGGTGGGAGGGAGGGAGTGTTTTTGGGGGGCGGCCGCAGTGCTGGTGGCGGGGAGAGAAACTTGTTTAGGTGATTGAGGGAAATAACCCAAGGGTTCATCTCCCCACAAAGTAACTTTAGAGCTAGGGTCCGAGGTTGCGGGGACCCGGAGAGCCGCCGGAGGTCGCGGGGAGGGTTGGAGGTGGCAGCTGCGTTAGGAGGCGATCGTGGGTGTTTAGAGGGGCGGGCTAGGGTCTGGCGGACAGAGCGAGGGGCACCGCAGCGGGGGCTCGGGCGCCGGGGCTCTGTGCCGGGCTAGGCGAGGGCGGCGGTGCCGGTTGCGCGGCGGGCGGAAGCCAGGCGTGGAGCGGCCGAGCGGGGCCCCGCAGGGCGCGGAGACGCGCGCGGGGCGCGGAGGGCGTGTGCGGGCGTGGGTCGGGTGGGCGTGGGGACTTTCCCCAGCCAGCGGAGGGACGCGGTGCTCCCAGCTCTCTGCACCTCGCGGGGCGGGGACGGTGGGCGCCAGGGGCGCCGCTGAAGTTTAGGGGTCTGAGAGGGACCGAGTTCCTGGGGAGGGAAAGTGTGCTGGTGAGAAGCGGGATCTGCCGGGGCAGGCTGGTGTTTCTGCCTCTCGCAGCCGACTTAAAGCTGCTGCAGCGGTGACTGGCGAACTTTTTGGGGGAGACTTGCTGCTTTCTAAATATCTGGGGGCTGTGATTTCCCCAGCGGAGGTCTTGGGGTCCTTGGAGGGGGTGTTATGTGAGCTGCGGCGACCGGTGCAAGGAGGATTTTCTGCAGTGGGGAGGGGGCAGTGGTCCGAAAAGGATTTTAGGGAAGAGAGAAGCGTAGACATTGGAAGGAGTTGTTTGGTTAGGGTTATGTAGAGATACAGGTGTTAACTTCGGTGGGAGCTGAGAGGAGGCTAGCGAGAAAAGAGCCCTCCGGGCCGGGATGCCACCGTCACGGCACACTGCGAAGCAAGGCTGTTTGCTGCTATTCTTATGCACTTGTAACGGTGATTTGGTGGTTACTAAAAATGAGAGAGAATAGTGACTGTGACCACTGGGGAAAAACCCGTCTTTTTTGTGCAGCGGATCCGTGATTCCCAGGCACCACCTCCACTCCAATGGTGAGGTTTACCTTGTCATTGAACGTGCTCTCCCTTTCCGAGGGTGTTTAGATTGTGGAAAAGTCTGAGAGCATCTCCCAATAGCTACCTTGCTTACCTTGCACACGGAAATAGCCGCTTAAATAAAAACCGAATTCGCGAGTTTCCCTCTTTGCTTTAGGCAGATATTATATAGTCTCCTGAAAGTTTCTTGTGCCCTAGGGATGGGAACATTTCCTAATCTTCGAGTTGGCAGCAACACACAATTCCCATTGGATTTGGGGGTGGCAGATCTTGATGTAGCAAAACAACAACTGAAAATTAACGGAGAGCTGCTGGTTGTTGTTGTTGCTGCTGATGTTTGTTTTCCCCAGAGGTATTTTCTGAGAAGCTACATTCAGGATCTTATTGCTGTGACAAGGAATGCGTAAAAGACAGCATCATAGCCTGGTTGAGAAACAGCAGTTATTAGAATCAAAGTTTTGAAATAACAGTCTGATTTGTATATATTGATCATTTAGTTGTAATATACCTGATAAAATAAAAACAGAGGAGAATGTTTGAATGATTACAGAGCATTTGGATTTCATGTTATTGAGAGTGAAGGAATTGAAAGGTGTTGAGATATAGCCTTATTTATTTTGAGGATGGTTGGATTTGAGAATAAAGGTAATTTAAATCTTAGTTGCACTTTCAGGAATGGCTGAATCTAATTTTTATCCTGTAAGTTTGTTTAAAAAATTAGTACCTGAGATAGTTAATGAGAAAGTTAGACCTGGGATATCTGGACCTTTGTAGCTCTAATTCTGTGATTCTTTCATGAAAACAAATAGTTGACACTTTTGCTGTCAGCTCTACCAAACTGAACACCGAGTAACATCTACTTTTGTAAGCAAAGTAGTGAGAGTTCTGCTAGATGGTGCTATTTGATTTAAAGATATTTCTTCCATTCATTGTAATTGGCATCAGGAATCCTGGACTGACTTGCCTTATGAACTAAAATATAGGTGAAGAGGCCACTTTTGGAAAATTGACAAGGACTCTTGTGAATTAATTGTTGCATTAATTTCTAGGTGAATGTTGTTGTTTGAATCCAAGACAAATATTAAAGAAGATCCTATTTTAAAGAATAAACTTAGTTTCATTTTGGTGGGAGAGGGGATCTGATTGCTCTGTTTTTTTCCTTTATGTTTACTTGGGACTTTAATGGCATTATTCTACAGCAATGTACTAACTTCTGAAAATAGGAATCTTGAAGTTGTCTTTAAAATGGATCACCAGATTTAAACAAAAAAATTTTAAGGTAGCAGATTAAAAAGGTACTTGAGTGAACAATTCTCTTTTAGTAAGCAAATTAGAAGTGTTGTGATCTTAAACATCACAGAAATAATTTTTCGGTAATAAATATATAAATATTTACTTTGCTTTAATAAAAACATTCTGAAACATGAGTAATTATTATGAGCAATAGCATGCACATAAAATATATATATTGGTTTTATAATCTATCAAGAAATGTGTTTTCTAACAAGTTTATAGTGGGTAGGTGACAAGTGCTTACCTATATAATTATATCTTTACTTTCTTTCATTAAGAAGTTACCATTGGAATACTTGAACTTAACTTGTAGGTTTTTCACAGTTTTTAAAAATTGAAATATATAGTTCTGAACAAAAAAAGTCATAGGGGATATAGTTAGTAATATGATAATAACCATGTATGGTGACAGATGATTACTAGACTTATGGAGTATCACTGCATAAAGTATATAAATGTCTAATCACTGTGTTGTACACCTGAAGCAAATATTGTATGTGAACTATAATTAAAAGATAACTTAAAATAATTAAAAAGTAAACTTAAAAATGGCCAATCAGGTTAATTACTTATTCTATTGTTTAAAAAAAAAAACAGATCAAGTCTATACAAAGGTTGGGATTAGGTTTAATTATAGAGGGTATGATTGCAAATCCCAGGAGGGAGGTGGGATGTTTGTGGAGAAATTTAAATTCTGAGCCTGTTAGGTCATTTCTCCCTTTAGCAGGCTATCTTTGTAGCACTCACAATTATAATTAGGTAATAATATAATTGGTTGTTTAATGTCTAGCCTCCTCTAAGATGTAAGTTCCTTGAGGGCAAGGGATGATACTTCTAATTTCTTCTATGAGATATTCTTGATATTAAGGATAATGCCTTTATATGTCAAAAGCACCAAATAAATATTTGAATAAATGAATGTTAGACTCAAAAGAATTTTTTTAAATGTGGGAAAAAAACCTTTTGACTTTCAAAGTGACCTCCAAAATAAGGACTTCGAAAGTTTGAGTCCCACATTCTGTATAGCATATTTGTGTTTCAAAAATAGCCAATAACAACAAAAAGTAATTTTTGTTATTCTATATGCCATTTACTGTGTTCAGTGCTTCATTCATATTTTCTCTAATTCTCCCAAAAATTCTGAAAGATAGTAATTTTTTCTCCATTAAAGAAATAAGAAAAGTAACTTGCGCAGGAATGCCTTGCTAGCTGAATTTCTAACAAAGATTTCTTTAAGTTTAGAACCTGTGGTTGAAACCAAAAGATACATTTTTTCTTTCTGTGTATCAGATTGCCTTCCTAATCTAGGGTAGGATGCTACAGATTTAGGGAATTGTATTGCGTAATCAGATATAAGAGATCTTAAAGATTTGATCAGATATGCAATCTTAACCATTGGCTAACCCTGATGCTTATACCCTCCATTTCCATGGATAGCAGATGTGTGTGTGGTGTGAAGGAAAAGAAATTTTACAGGTGAAAGTTGGAAGCCTAGGTAATGAAGACTTTTATTTATTCAGATTTTTTCTTCTAGAAATTTTGTTTGATCACTTAAGTCTTAAAATCAGACATTTTGTTTTGAACGATTCCTATATGAGATACTACTGAACTTCAAGCCGCACTGCTACGGAAGAATAACTGCTAACCTATGAATTGCTGGGTAGTGGTACTACTTTTTAATTAAACTAATTTGGTCCTCTAAAGTTATGTAATAGCACAGAAAGGTGAATCTCGTATAAAGCAAAGTTGAACATATATGCATGCCAGACAGTGACATTACATGAAGTAAACTTAGTCAGAAACTGCAGAAACCAAGCTGCATTTTACCTGGGGCTCTAAAAAGTAACTTGGGCTTTTAAATTATGAACCTTTTAGCTGAATACATCAAGAAATAAATATTATATATATGCTCATGTGGTTACAGAAAAGAACATATACTATTCCATATAGACCCTGGCTGGGTAGCTGAGTTGGTTAGAGCATCCCCCCAATATGCCAAGTTTGCGAGTTCAGTCCCTGGTCAGAGCACATAACAAGAATCAATCAAAGAATGCATAAATAAGTGGAACAACAAAATCAATGTTTCTCTTTCTTCCTGTCTCTAAAATCAATCAATACTCCTCCATATAAAATAAAGATTATTGGATTATTATTTGTCAGCATCAAATTATTGCCTCTGTATACTATTTAGTCACTCCCCCACAACAAATTATAAATGCTCCTTCTTTTTTCCTTTCTCAAAGAAATAAAGTTAAACGAGTGAAATAATACTAATCTGTTTAGAAACTTGATTGACAAGCAGTTAACACAATTCAAGATTTCTAAAACTAATGAAGGAATACCATAATGGGAATGAAATTTTCTATAAGATA